TTTTTAATCAAGGTGGGCGATCAAACACTAGAAAAGCTGATTCCACCTGGCAGCAGAAGATGAGCAAGTTAACAGAGTGGGTGACAGTGAATGCTCCTCCCCTTGATCTCATAGATATTTTCAAGCAGGTCCCTGGCTGTTAATAAATGGTAGTGATTTTTTTGTCTTTAAGAGAAAGACTTTAAAAGAACATTTTTATTTTTACTTCAAATGTTGCATAGGCGACTTTCTGAGATTAGCAAGTCCCCGTGTGGCTTGGTAAATATTTTCTTGTAGCGCCATTGGAAGGGACATTTTCAGTAGACATTCATCAGTGTGGCGCCAAAACCAGAGCTGCACAGCTTTGCAGCAGTCCCCCCTAACTGGTGATTAGTTATCCTGGTTCCATCTAAACTCGCCTCCAGAGCTGTTCAGTTGAGTTGATAAGTTTGCTTCTAAGACAGGAATAGGTTATCTAAGAGGAAAGCAAGATCTTTTTGAGGCCCTCTTTACATGCTTATAGCTCCTTCAGAATATTAGTTGGTCTAGCGGTGGGGATTGCCATCAAGTGCTCATTGCATAATGTCCTCTAAGCTTAGCACGGAAATCTAAACTTTAAACTCACAATGAGCCCTTGGGGAGGCCCACGGAATCCCTCCAGGTACCTGCTAAGCTCTGGTTGAGGGGTGAGGCATGGTGGCACTGACTGGGTTCATCCTCCCATTTCAGTGCCGTGAAGAACCTTGTCGACAGCAGCATCTACTTCCGCAGTGTGGAGGGCCTCCTCAAACAGGCCATCAACATCCGGGACCACATGAATGCTGCCACTCAGGGCCACAGGTAGCTCCTGGGACTACCCACTTCTGCTGCTCTCAGCCTCCTCGCTGTAAGGACCTTCGCTGCTCAGCCACAGGAACTGCCACTTCTTGCTCCTTAGACAGCTCCCTTTCCTCATCTCATGGTGTCTGGTGGCTTTCTCTCGTCCTTTGGCATCTGTGGTGGGAGAGTTCAGTCACTCAGCATTCAGATCCTGAGCTCTGCTGTGTGCCCAGCCTTGGGCTGGGTGCTGGGGACACAAAGGTGACTGGGACAGGTGTGCTTGAGATCTCTTGGGGAGACACACAGGAACCAGATAAACTTGGAACACACCAGAGCATTTCAGACATGTGCAAAGGAAAAAAAAATGGAGGCAGCAGAAGTACAAGCAAAGGCCTGAAAGACTTGCAAAGGGTGACAACCCAGGACAGTGTTCCAAGCGGGACAGTGGCGAGGGCAAAGGCCCTGGGGCTGGGGAGCTGGGTGTGTTGAAAGAACATCTAGGAGGCGGATGTGGCTGGAGTGGGTGAGTGAAGGGTGGATGGAGTCAGGGAGGTGAGCAGCAGGTAGGGCACCCAGAGCTGGAGGAGGCTTTGAGCAGAGGGGCAGATGGACTGAAAATGAAAAGCACTTACAGTCCTTGCACAATGGAGAGAGAGTTTATAGGGGAAAGCGCTCTCTTTGTTTTTGTTTTCATTATAACTTAAACACACACACATACACCCACCTGTAAACCATAACTGTAAGCCATAACTCTACCTTGAGATGTGTCTGGCTCCTGTAGTTTGGGGTTCTGACCTGCCTGTATTTAGAAAGAAAACCTCCATGTTGCTGTTCCTGAGAACTGAGACATGAGAATTGTCAAAATCAGAAAAGCCTGTGGATGTGTAAAAATGGATGTGCAGCAGTTTTCTCTTTGAGGGTAGCATGACAAGGGTTCTCTGGGTTCGTTTGCATTAAATTACCATCTGGTTTGGGCTGCTCTGCTGCTGGTTAGTAACAACCATGAGGACTAGAGTTGACTGTAAAGTGCATGGAACAGTGCCCTGCACACAGAAGGGCCTCAAAAAGCTATAGCTTTTACTTTGAACTCACGGTTTCCCAAGTGCTTTCAAATGCCCTGCTTGTGCTTAATGTTGCAAAATGCAACATGCTTCGGAAACACTAGTAGCAGCTTGAGGTGCTGCTAACACTTCTCTTTGGAAGCCATGTGGGTTTGAAGCACCCAGTCCTGTGCGAGTCCCAGCCATGACCTCTGAAGTGGGTGGCTAGTCCCATTTTTATAGAGGATGTCCTGAAGACTCAGGCCAGGGGTCTTGGGAAGGTGACCTTAAAGCACACATCTGCTTAGCTGAGTAGGCCTCATGGCCTTTGACATTGGCCTCATGGCCTCTGACCTTGGCCTCACGGACACTGCACATGTTTTATTCCAGCCCCAAGGAACCACCCGCACCCTCCTCAGTCTGATCCCGGAAGAGACTTGGAGGTGCTTTGGCCCCTCCAACCAGGTCAGTGCTGAGCAGGGCCAGAAACCTCCCTGTACTCTGTGCTCTGAACTAACACTTTTGTTGTCCAAGAAGGGACCTACTGTCTAACCACTTGGGCTTTCTTCTGGGTCTGTAGGACACTTGGTGGGAGGTACAGGGTTGGGGAGACCTTGTACCCTCTGCTGCTAAGGGCTGTTGTCAGCCCATCTCCCTCATGCTCTCTCGGCCATCTTCCATGCTCCTTCTCCAGGCCACAGGCCCTGTCCTGATCCCAAGGACTCCTCTAAGACAGAGAGGGAAGCTCACATTTTCCTACCCTGCCACATGCAGTTACCACCCAGCTCTGGAGTCCTCGCTCCACCACTGACCTGCTGTGTGACCCTGAGCAAGTTCTTCCTCCTCTCTGATCTCTGTTTTTTCCTTCTGTCAAAGTGGTTCATCAGGTAGCAAAAAGGATGCTGCTGTATGTGGTGGTGTGTGGTGTAGCAGTCAGTTACTGCTGTGATAAATTAGTTCAAAATTTAGTGGCTTATAATACCAATCTGATTACTCACGATTCTGTGATTTGGGCTGGACTCAGCTGGGCTGTTATGCTGGGCTCTACTGAAGGGCCACTTGTATGGCACTTGTTGATGCTTCATGGGGGCTGATAGGGGTGGCCTCACACATGTGACCCTTGATTGATGCTGTTGGCTGTGGGGGGTCTAGTTCTCAACCTCCATGTGGCCTCTCAAGCAGGTCAGCCTTGGCTTATGGTGGCTGGGCACCAAGTGGGCAGCCCCAGTGCACACAGGCTCATTCAGCTTCTGCTTGCTTCATGTTTATGGCCAAGCCCAGAACTGGATGGGAGAGAATTTCAGAAAGGCGTCAATACTGGGAATTGATGCTGTTGGCTGTGGGGGGTCTAGTTCTCAACCTCCATGTGGCCTCTCAAGCAGGTCAGCCTTGGCTTATGGTGGCTGGGCACCAAGTGAGCAGCCCCAGTGCACACAGGCTCATTCAGCTTCTGCTTGTTTCATGTTTATGGCCAAGCCCAGAACTGGATGGGAGAGAATTTCAGAAAGGCATCAATACTGGTGTGATTGACTGTGTGAGGAGAATGTGGCACCAAGAAAAGCCTGGTGTATTGTTATTTTGTGCCCATGCAGGAAAGACCCTGGCCGATCCGAGGTACCTGAGGGACTTACTGAGCCCCTGACTTATGTAGCTCTCAGAGCCCCTGCCCATTTTCCGTGATGGTGCTGTGTACCATGAGGGCCCTCTCTGAGGGTTGGGGATGCATGAATGGGGACCCCATGTCCCTAGAGCATCCGCCTCCAAGAGGCAGCAGAGTTCACACATGTGCAGTGAAAGAGCACTTACTGGGCACCTGCTGTGTGCCAGGCTTAGCTCTAGGCCTGGGGGTGGTGAACAATCCCACAAGCTGTGGGATCACCTGGAGGACATTTGGGAGTGCCTGGGGCAGGTCACGTGTCCCAGGGCCCTTCTCAGTGTTGCCTGCCAACCCTGGGCCCAAAACCTACCATTTCCCTATCCCATCGCCTGTGCCCTGGTCCCTTCCACCCTCCCACCTTAAGGACACTGCCCTGTGTAATCTGCTGTCCCTCCATCTCTGTGTCCCCTCTGAGCAAAATGCTCTGTGCTTCTTCTGATCCCACCTTTGTCTCTGCAGACCCCGCTCTGCTTGTCCCCAGAACTGCGGTCCCACGTCCCCTCTCAGAGCCTCCATTTCCACTTTTCCCCAAGCTGCTCCCTCAGGGTCTTTTTAAACTGATGAGGTCAACTGTCAGCCTCCACTAACCTTTGTCCTCACTGCCTCTCCCAGGGTCCTACATACAGCCGCATTTTACAGAAGAGGAAACTGAGGCTCAGATAGGCGAGGCAGGGTCACCACCCCTGACTGCAAATGTGGAGTCACACCCGACCCTCCAACCCCCTGGGCTTCATCTCTTCCCCCAACTCTGTCAGGCTCCTGCCTCAGGTGCTGCCTCATCTGGGTGGCCCTGCAGCCCTGGGAGACTCACACCTCCTCGCCCTGACCCTCGCCCCTAGCCTGACCAGAGCTGGGCCCTTGGACACAACCTTGTGAGACCTAGGAGGGACTGAAGACGGAGCAAGTATTGACAGTGCAGTCCTCCCGCTCCTGCCCAGGCTCTCCAGGCCAGCTGTGAGTGTCCCAAAATGAGGCTTCGCCATCCCTGGACTCTTACTCCACATCAGCCATGGCCCCTCAGACCAATAACTGCTGCCATGTTAACCCCAAATGATTACCCATCGTGTGCTCAGTGCTGTGCTGGGGGCTCTGCAAGGGTCATCTTTCATCGTGAGAAAGCCCTGTGAGGCAGGTGTCAACCCCAAAATACAGATGGGAGAAGAGAGGCTCCAAGATTTGGCATGATTTGTGCAAAGGTACAGACCTAGAGGAGGTGGTCCCCTGCCTGGTTTGGTTCCAGCCCTGCCTCTGACCTGCTGTGTAATGGGCCTGGAACTGGCCCTCTGTGGTCCTCTCTCCATCTGGACAAGAAAGGCTGGACTGGACCTCCTCTACAGGCTGAGGTGGACATTTGTGCACCTACCTGCCTGGCCTGCATTCTGCCTCAAGCAGAAATACCCACCCAGGCTCAGGCCGTATGGCTCCAGGAATGGACATGGGATCCCCATCTCCCAGGTCACTGATTGGTTTGAGATGGGCATGTGACCCAATGAGAGGTCTCCCCCAGGAAATTTTGCTGGAAGCGTGGGAAAAGTACCATCTTCCCACTAGGGTTGTTGAGCTGGGCAGATGAAAGGGAGGACCTGAGACCATTGCATGGGCCCTGGATCCAGCTGTACCTGACAGTAGTGCCTAAATTACAGTATTTGCCAAACTTTCTTTCTGCTGACTCAGATCAGCCCGCACTGATCCCCTTTGAGTTCTAGGCCTGGAGGTCATGGCCCATGGTCTGTACACCTCCAAGGCCAGCTATGTACCAGCAGAGTGCCCAGCGAAATGTATCAGGAAGATCAGAATAGAGTAGTTTGGGGTATGGCAGGGTGGGTCCAAGGCCCAGTGCTCTGGGAGGAACCCCCACACTTCCCTTGGCACTGTGGATAGTTGAGTGACGGGTGGCAAGAGCCAGGGGCACCTTAAGGGAAAAAGAGTCCTGGTGGGGTGTCAGGGCTGTGGAGGGGCCTGAGGGCCTGGGAGAGGGTTTAGGGAGACAGGAGGTGTCATGGAAGGACCTCCTACCACTGCCAGGAAATGGGGGTAAGTACTTTTTCTCCCTCATAGGGTATACTTGGGACTTCTGTGCTGCTGTTCTCCCTCCCCACTGCCCATGTCTACCATACAATCATTTATCCAGCAAATATTGACTGCCCTCTGCGAGCCAGGCCCTGCCTACCCAAGGGATGCCCTGGTGAGCAAGACAGGCAGCTAAGTAAGGTAACTGCTATATCTCAAGGGTGCTGTGAGCTAGTAGGGGGCGGCTGGTGGAGTGTCCCAAACCTTCCTAGGGCTCCCCAATACCCACAGCTTCTAGATGTAACCTCAGCCAGACTAATTGTCCTCTCAAAGAGGTCTGTGTAGGACTCTGAGCTGTCAGATCCTTGAGTGTGCACGTTAATTTGCATCTCATTTGCATGTCCGCCTCACCTTTCACACCAGGCGGAAGCACTGTCCACTGGCCGCTAGGGGGCACAAGAGGCAAGGCTTGGCCACAGTCCTGGCTGATCCTGGTGGACTCTTAGCTCTTCTTCACCCCATACCTCCTGGCTCCCACTTTTCAGAGGGTGAACTAAGGCTCCTTGAGGCTGGATTACTCAGCAGGATCTCGCATCTGCCCACACACGCTCCTGGACACGCGCTGGTGGCCTTCTCTTGTTGGGGTAGAGGATGTAGCGTTCCTGCTCCATAGGACTTGCTCCCAGCAGAGCCCCAGAGAGAGGTGGGCATCTAGGAGACAGCGAGCTCCCCATGCCACAGGGTATTCAAGCAGGAGTCTAACACCCATGAGGGTGGGGGTGACCTGGAAGGGATCCCAGCCCTAATAAAGTATGGCTTCTCCACCTCCCAGCCCCACTCAAAGCTCCTTCATATCTGCGGATAGGGTAAAAGAAGGCCCAAGAGGGCAGCAATGCCCCTGGTTGGTCCGCAGTGGTTAGGGTGGGAATGAGACTAGAGTTTGGCTTTTTGTCCTTATCCCCTGATCTAAGTCCTGGTTTTATTTCAGGCCTGCTCTGCATTCCCAGAGGGCCTGCAGGGCCCTTCTTGCCCCTGCCACATCTCCCATCAAGGCTTTTGGATGCCCCAAACGTGGTCCCCATGTCCACTGCTCAGACCCTCTCCTGGGCTCTTAGTTGTTTAAGAAACCCATGAAGATGTCCCTTTGGTGCCACCACATACTGGGTCCAGCCTAGAGGAGCTCCCAGGCTGGGGAAGACAGCTGGACACACATCCCAAGAACCCCTGAGTCAGCGCTGGGCTGGAAGGAGGGATGAGGGTAGAGGAACCCCAAATGGGACGAGGATAGAGAAGGCTTTGGGAAGAGAAGGTATTGGAGGTGAACCTTAAAATGCTTCCCTTGTGGGAAGAGGGGCTGTTATTGTCCCCATTTTTCACTTGAGCAAATAGGCTCAGAGGGGTGACGTGTGTGGCCTGAGGTCACACAGTGAGTGGGAGTTGGAGCTGGAATGGGGACCCAGGATTCTCTGACCTGAGGCCGTACTCACTGGATAACACTTCTTGCCATGAGAGTCCTTCAAAACCTTCCCCTGTTGACATTGTGGGAGAGGATCTGGAAGAAGTAGACTTGGGGTGAGTGGCTTCTCCATCTCACCACCTTCCCACCCCTACCTCCCCCATCTCAGGCCCCTTTCCCAGTTCCCCTCTGGCCCTCTTCACCCTTGAACCCTCCCTTCCACCTTCCAGCATGTTACTCCAGCAACTAAGGGTATCTCCTCATTTGAGAAGACTGAGGTTGAGAATCTTGACTTCCAGTGGGGGGTGAGGGTCTATGAAAGGTGACACAGCCAGTGATGGGGAGAATATAGGATAGGAACAGGGGAAAAGGCAAAAAGGAGGAACTGTTATAGGAAACAGGGTGTGAATGATAGAAGATGGAATGGTGGCAACATGGGCAGGAACACGGGAGGGTGCCCTAATGGTGGGAGAGGGCAAGGGGTGGGGGCACATAGGGGGCAGTCCCAGCCAACTCAGCTCAGGCTGGCCCTTCCTGCCACACCCCAGCTACTCCCAGAGCTGCTCCAGCTGCCACCCTTATGTAACCAGAGCCTGGCTGTTGCATCAGAGACAGGCAGGCGGCCGCAAGTAAACAGAGCGGCCCTTGGGGGACCTGGGGCTCCCCAGCCACTTCTGTACTCCCCAAGCCTTCTTACGTGCCTTGGAGCTGAGGCAGAAGCCCCCAGACTGGCCTGGGCCCTGGTGTGTCCTTGGGACACCTGAATGTCTGGCACTGGACACTGAGGGGCAGTGATGGGGCTGGGGGGAGGCAGGACCCCTGATCTCCACCTTATGACACAGTGTGAACCTGTTTTTACGTCCAAAGAGACATCTGTGTTCAAGCTAGAGGTCCAAACTGTCCATGTCACAGACTGATAAACTGAGGCATGGGGAGATACACAAACCTGCTTGCTGCCTCGATGTCCCCCACACATGGTATCTCCACATGCTTCCTTGAATCCAGGGGTCCAGCCATCTCCTGTTGTCTTCTGAGAAGGTAGATACCAGGCAGCATTGCAGCTTACCTACTCGCCACCTTCATCTGTCCCAAATCAGCACCACCCTCTCTACCTCCTATCCTCTCCCTGGGCTCCCAGCCTGGTCTGCTCCTGCCTTGGCTTCATCTCCCTAATCTCCCCCATCAAAGAACACTATGCACTCTTCTACTGTACCTTTGTATAGGGCTGTTCCCCTCTCTCCGTGGCAAACTGCTACTCAGGCTTCAAGGCCCAGTACAGTGCCCTCTCTTCTGGGAAGCCCTCCTTGACCCCTCTGGCTCAGTCCTGACCCCACAGGGCTGGGGGAGTGTGTGGCGGCTGCTCTGTCTCCTTCAGAGTGGGGGCTTCTCCAGGATTACTTAAGCCATGGGCATCTTCATCCTGTAATTCTCTTCACATTGATTCACTCGCCAACCTTCTTCTGACCCTCCTCTCTGGGCCTGGCCCTGTGGTGTGTGGTGCTGGGATCCCAGGGAAAATGTGGAGTTAGAGGTCTGGGCTGGGGGCCAGGCAGTCTTCGAAGCCCGACCACCATCAGCTAACCTTTAAAGTGGGAGAGGGCACCCAGCAGCTAAGGGCGCCCATTGACTCTCCTGTCAATGGGCGAAGCCACACAGGCCTCCGCTGAAGTCCTTTCAGTCCCTCCATTTGAGCGAGAGCAAGGGCCAGTGTTGGCTTTGAGAAGAGCTCAGTCCCTGGGACCATCTAGGTAGGAGTTACATTTCACTCAGGATGGAGTGAGTGTTGGGGCTGGCAGTGGTTAGAGACAGGGTACAAATTATGGTAAAGGGGACCCAGTGCGAGTAGGGGAAACCTAGCAGGTCTGATACAGCCTTTTCTTGACTCCCTCTACCTCATTATACACATCACAGCGTTTTTCCGGCTCTGAGTCCCGGGCCCCAGAACTCCTGAGGCGGGGCCACACCCAAGTGCCAGCCCATCACGGCCCGTGGGCACGCCCTCTATGCTAATGAACATCCCCGCCCAATCAGCTCCAGGGGGCGGGGCCGCCCACTCTGAAGGCACCTGCGGCCGCTGGGCACCCCGGGCTGTGCCGCTGCTGTGAATCCGTGCACGCGTGTCTGAGGGTCCAGGCCGAGCAGGTGCGTGTCGCGTCGGGACGCGGCTTGTGCTGTGTCCTTTGAATGTCATCTGTGGGCTGGGCTAGGTTTGGAGGTCCCAGTGTGTGGCTATGCGTCGAGAGTTGTGTGTCTAAGAGGTATGCGTCCTGGGATTGTTGAGTCCAAGGTGTTGTGTGTCCAAAGGGTGTAAGTCTGAGAGATGTGTATTCAAGGGTTGTGAGTCCAAGGGGTGTGAGCCTGAGGGGCAGGGTGTGTCAGAGGGTTTCTAAGTTCCAGGGTTGTGTTTCTGAGAGGTCGTGTGTCCAAGGGGCATGTGTCTGAGGGTTTCGATGTTAGTTGGGGAGGAGTTGTGTGTCCAAAGTTGTCCTGCCCAGAGTCCCTGTTGTGTGTCTGTGAGCTGCGTGTCTGGTCTGTGGGCTACAATGTCCTGTCCTGGAGCGCACCCCTTTTCATACCCTTGAGGCCCCTGTGCATAATCCCATGCCTTCCTACTGTGAGTGTGCCCTCATATCATGGCCCCAGACCTGCGTGTAGCATGTAGTATGACCATCCCCGTGTACCCCGGGTTATTGCCATGACCCTTCACCTGCCCCATAGGGCCTCATGCAACAAATGTGGGGCCTCAGCTGGACCCACAGGGTACCCATGTGGTGCGTACAGAGCTCTGGGGCGGTGGGCCACAGCTGCCTTAAAGGGGGCTACCACCTTCCCTGTGCGTCAGTGTCCCTATCTAGGACATGGGTACAGAAACAGTATACAGCACATGACCAGCTAGTGGCTGTTACTTTCATAGTCATGGTCCCCTTCTCCACCTTTCTCAGCGTCCAGGGCTGCAAGATGTCAGTCAGCGTAAGGGTCCTTGGCCTCTCCCCAGCCCCAGCTACAGACCTGAGAAGTTAGAAATAGCTGAGGCCTCCTGTCTAACTTGACTGAGAAATCCTCACTGGGGAAAGTCAGGAGTTCTGGACCTTTGGAGTCTGGGTACAAAAACTCTTATATTCTTGGGGTAAAGAAACTAGGTTCAAAAAAGTATTAGACTTGGAAGGACTGGTACGTGGGTTTGAAGTCCGC